AGCCTGGAACGCATGAGACCTGCTTCAAAAACAAACAAACAAACAAACACAAAAAAAAAAAAAACCCAAGGGTCTACGGAGATGGCTCAGCAGTTAAGAGCACTTGTAGTCCATGTAGAGGATCTGGGTTTACTTCCCAGCAAACATGGTGGCTTACAATCATCTATAATTCCAGCGCCAGGGAATCCAGTGTCCTCTTCTGGCCTCAATAGGTGCACAGACATATATGCATGCAAAACACCCATGAGAAATTAACTGGGCCAGATGGTGATGGTGCATGCCTTTAATCCCAGCACTTGGAAGGCAGAGACAGGAGGATCTCCATGAGTTCCAGGCCAGCCTGGTCTACAATGCAAGTTTCAGGACAGTCAGAACTGTTACACAGAGAAACCCTGTCTCGAAAAAAAACTAAAACAGCAACTACAAAATTAGCTGGACATGGTGGCACATGCCTTTAGTTTCAGCACTTGGGAAGCAGGGACAGGAAGATCTCTGAGTTCAAGGCTGACCTGGTCTACAGAGAAGTTCCAGGATAACCAGGGCTACACAGAGAAATCCTGTCTCAAAAGAAAGAAAGTAAGTAAAACTTTTAAAAACCATAAAAACAAACAGAGAAAATAGCCAAAAAAAAAAAAAAAAAAAAAAAAAAAAAAAAAAAAAGAAAGAAAAGGATCAGACAGACCCAGCAGAAGGTATCAGACACACGCACTATGCCTGGGATCCACAAGACCCTGAGGCCATGAGGGACTATCATGTTCTGATTTTAGTCATAGGCCAGCTGGACTGCTGTGCACCTCGACCCTTTCCCAGGAGTGCACCTCAACACAGTGCTCAAACAAGCACAGGTTGTGAATGGGCAGCCTCTGAGTGGCTAGGGCGGCTTGATGGGTGGCATTGCCATGGTCACTCTGGAGAGTAGAGACAACACATGCTAGCCTCTGGCTTGTTGCTGTGTCTCTGGGACACAACCCAGGCATCAGGAAGAGGAAGATCAACCATCAGGAGATTTGGGGTCATCTGTGTTATTTTTTTTCTGCAGTGCTGGGATGGGACCCAAGACCTGGTAAATATCAGGCAAGCAATTGGCACTGTACCCACTCTCAGCCAGGGCACTTTGGCAGTTACTCTTTTTTGGAGACATGGACTCATGTGGCTCCCAGGCTAGCCTCAAACTTGCTATGTAGCAATCTTGAAGTTGCTATAACCTGGAACTCCTGATCCCTCTGTCTGTGTATGAACCACAGTTTTGTGTACCAGTTCTATGCAGTGCTAGAGTTCAAGCATTCCAGCGTGAACCACTGTACAGTTTTGTGTACCAGTTCTATGCAGTGCTAGAGTTCAAGCATTCCAGCAGCTGAACTACATCCCCAGCCCTGACTTTCTTTGTTTAAGATTTATTTAATATGTATATAGTCTTCTGCCTGCATGTCAGCCTGCAGGCCAGAAGAGGGCACCAGATCTCATTACAGATGGTTGTGAGCCACCATGTGGATGCTGGGAATTGAACTCAGGACCTCTGGAAGAGCAGCCAGTGCTCTTAACCTCTGAGCCATCTCTCCAGCCCTGACTTTTTTCTTTTCAGTGAGTGTGAAATGATGATCTACTGTCTAGTAGCCAGGTCTCCCCTTAAGGCCAGTGTGTTTCTCAACTCCTTGTGTCTTGTCTGCTTAAGACAGCTTTGTTTGGGAGAGCCTGTCCTACGCTGGAATCTTCTAGAAAGTTTTGTGCACCTCTAGAGCAGGCTGGTCTTGGGAAGACAATTGCATGGCTGCTGCTCAGCACTCTATCTCATTTGTGTTTGCACCTTAGGTGAGTGACTGGTGGGAGGAATACATCTACCTGCGAGGCCGAGGGCCGCTCATGGTCAACAGCAACTACTACGCCATGGTGAGTTGGTCTTCCATTACCACTGCAGCCAAGGTGCAGTCATCATGCTGGACAGCCCCGCTACCTGCCTGGGAAAGCTGGGCGTGGGTTCCTCTCCCCTTGCTCCTGCTTCTGTTGTCCACGACTTCCTGTTGCTGTGAAAATCCCACCTGGGGCCCACGTGTTAGATCCCCCTGTGCCGTGGGGTCCCTGCCTTCCACCCAACAGAACAGACACCTTTGTATTGCAAACACATCCATGGCAAACAGCACTTGCTTAGTAAGCCCAGACTGGTCTAGAACCTGCGGTAGAAAAGGTGTTCGACACCATGCCCAGGAAACTCTTGCTGTCATTTAGTAGCCCAAGAAAGATGGAGGCTGGGGTTGTAATAGAGCAATAACAAATTTAGAGCCTGTTGTGGATCATGCCTGTCAGGCCAACATTGGGGAGTTGGAGACAGGGGGATCAGGAGTTCAGGGTCATCCTTGTCTACACGTGGAGTTCAAGGTCCTCCTTGGGGCCAGAGAGATGGCAGTTTAACAGCACTTGCTCTTCCAAAGGACCCAAGTTCAGTTCCCAGCGTACATGTCATGTGGTTCAGAACCATCTGTAACTCCAGTTGCAGGGAATCTGATACCCTCTTCTGGTCTCTGGGCACCTGCACATACATGTACACACAATCATACCCACACACACATATGTACACATAAAGAAAAAGCAAATCCAATCTGCCAAAAACCATAAATGGACCTAAAGCAATAGCAAAACTGTCCAGATACAGGACAATCATATAACAGTGCGTTAAGTTCTATAGTCAGGCATGGTGACACATGCCTTTAATCCTAGCTCTCAGGAACCTGAGAGTATAATATAACCTGGTCTCAAAGAACTAGACCCTAAAACAAGCATAAAAAGTAGTTGTAACTGAGCAGAGCTGGAACACCTTGGTGTCGTGGAGGGAGGGCCTCACCCTGTGTACAAGTCACCATGCCATCCCCATGAGCACTCTCTGATGTCACCCCCGTCACAGGAGATGCTGTACTTCACCCCCACCCACATCCAGGCGGCAAGAGCCGGCAACACTATCCACGCCATGCTGCTGTACCGTCGAAAGGTGGATCGTGAGGAACTCAAACCTGTATGTAAACTTTTTTTTTTTTTTTTCGTTTTTTTGAGACAGGGTTTCTCTGTGTAGCTTTGGAGCCTATCCTGGCACTGGCTCTGGAGTCTAGGCTGGCCTCGAACTTACAGAGATCCCCCTGCCTCTGCCTCCCAAGTGCTGAGATTAAAGGTGTGCACCACCAACGCCCGGCCCCGTACATAAACTTTTTAAAAACGTTCTTTTGGGAGGCTAGAGAGAGGGCTCAGGTGATGAGTTGCTTGCTTTGCAGGAAGATCTAGCACAGTGACACCCAGCCAGGTGCACTGCTGCGCAGTTGGAATCCCAGCACTGGGGACCAGAGACAGGCAAATGGCTGGGGCTCACTAACAGGCCTAATCAGTGAGCTCAGGTTCAGTGAGAGACTTTGTGAGGTCCAAGCACATGTGCTCATTTCCTGGGGAAAGAGAGAACCTGCTCCTGCACATTTATGTGACATACTGGTGAACTAAGAACCATTTCTTTCATAACCTCGGGTAGCTTACGTGTTTATCTGGAAGGAGCTTCAGTACCCTTCCTGGTACTGTTCAGCAAGTCCCTCAGGCGCTACCCCAGGAGACTGGAGATGATGAAGTCAGACTGGGCAGTATGCACAGGAAAGAGGCAGCATTTTAATCAGCTTCGTTTAAAGTTTCCCTGTGGGATTTTTGCCTGTTGTTTTAAAACACATTTTTATTACAGATTCGTCTTCTGGGATCCACGATTCCTCTCTGCTCTGCCCAGTGGGAGCGACTCTTCAATACCTCCCGCATCCCTGGAGAGGAGACAGGTCAGTGGTGCTCACCAGGGGCTCCCCTGGGACCCAGCATTTGTCATTCTGCTGCTCAGAACCAGGAAGCATTGGGGAACATTGGGGGCAGGATGATCTCCAGGGTCTATCCTGAGAGCTTCTGTTTCTGAGCATTCCTCCTCTTGGAATCCCCACCTTTTGTTGTTGGTAATGGTTTGGGAACAGGATCTCATGTGTTCCAGGATGGCCTCAAACAGTATATAGTTGAGGGTGACCTTGAGTTTCTGACCCTCTTGCTTCTCACTGGGATTATAGGCATGTGTCACTATGTCTGGAGTGTATGGTGTGGGAATGGAATCCTGGGTAGACAAGGGCACTGCAACGGAGCCCCAGCTTTGGCCTGGATTTCCTTTATCTTTACTAGGTCTAGACAATGGGTCAGTTCTAGATTTTAATATTTCTTCAGTCCAGAGTTTGTTTCATTGGGCATTTTTCCCTCAGACATCTTACTCTGGCCCACATACAGGGTTTGTTGTAAAATACCTATACCTGAGGAGCTGGGTCATGGCCCAGCTGGTTGCTGTCGGCCTCCTGGCCTGAGCAGCATGTTCATATAATCTGCCTTCTAACCTAAGACATCCTTGGAAAAGATAGGGAAGACAATGGATACCAGCTGGTACCATGAAGACTTACAGGGTCACTTTTTAACATTGTGACAAAATACCTAAGCAAAGCCACTTAGGGGAGGAAATATTTAGTCTGCCCTTGTTTCTGGGCGGTGGAAGGGCGAAGCATCATGGGATACAGAGGTATGTGAGGGAGCCGAGCCCTTAGTGTCTGTCAGCCAGGACACAGAGCTCGAGAAGGGGACTGGATGGAATCGAGGATACCTCTCAGCACATAAATGTTCCTGTCCCCAAGCCTGGTCCTTGTGTTTGATCCCAAGAACCCTTGTGGTAGGAGAGAACCAACTCCCACAAGTTGCCCTCAGTCCTCTCCATGTGTACATGGCATGCCTGTCCTTACATGTTTGAGCACCCACACCACACAAGATAAGTAAATAAATATAATTTTTAAAAATTTAAGAGACCCTTCAAAGATGCATGCCCCAGAGGACATCTTGAGGGAGCTGGTTCTTTTCTTCACCATGTGGGGTCAGGCTAGGCAGCAGATGCTCTTATCAGCTGAGCCATCTCGCTGGCTCTGTCATGTCTTTAATAGTAGTGATTATAAATATTAAAATCTGGGTAATGCTGGATGTGGTGGTGCACACATTTAATCCCAGCACTCTGGAGGCTGAGGCAGGTGGATCTCTGTGAGTTTGAGACCAGCCTGGTTTCAGAGTGAGTTCTAGGCCAGCTAAGGCTACTTAGTGAAACCGTCTCAAAAACAAAAACAACAAATAAATAATTTATTAAATGTAGTGTCCCTGGTGGAGTCATATAACCACTTGCTGGCATTCAGGGGCCTTGCTACTTAGTTCTCTAGTCTGTTTGCTTTCTTCTTTTGAGACAGGGTCTCATGTTCTAGAACCCTGTGTAGACCAAGCTGACCTTGAACTCAGAGATCTACCTGCCTCTGTCGCCTCAGTGCTAGGATTAAAGGTGTGTACTCCTGTAACCAATCTTTTGTTGTTAATTCTTTTTAAGCTTTGTCATTGTGTTTATTTGTGTGTATGATTATGGGAGGGACACAGCCACACTGTAGCACTCACGTGCAGCTCGATGACAGTGCTCTGGGACTGACTCACTACATTTGCCTTTACATGGATTCGGGATCAAACTCATGTCACTAGGTTTGTGCAACAAGTGATTTTACCCACACTTCATCTCCCCCCCACCCAGGACAGGGCCTTGTATAGCTCCAGCTGGCCTCTAACTTGATACGTAGCTGAGGCTGGCCTTAAAGTACTGATCCTCCCAGGGGCACCATCATGCCTGGCTAAAATATGTCATTTTTTAGAGATTTATTTTTGCTTTTTATTTTTATGTATGTGTCTGTATCTCTTTAAATGTATGTGTGCCAGAAGATGTCATGAGATGCCCTGGAGCTGGAATTACAGGTGGTCATGAGCCACCCGATGTGGGTATTTCGAACTGAACTCTGGTCCTGTGCAGGAGCAACAGGTGCCCTTAACCACAGAGCTGTCCCTCCAGCCCCTGAAACAGCTTTCATGTTGGAGTTTTGCACTTTCTTCATCAGAACATTTTCCAGGGCGCCCTCTTGTATAACCACATGGCCTGGGTGCTTTGGACTCATGAACTGTGTGGGAACTGGATGTCCATTCATGAGGAGAATGCCCATCCCAAAGGATACCCCTACTCCTTCCCAAATTGCCACCAATAGGGAACCAAGTATTCAAATGCCTGTGACTTACGGGAGACATCTCATTCAAACTACATGTTCCAACCCTGTTTCAGAGTCAAGGAAACCGAGGCTTTGGAGGGCTGGTTAAGCCAAAGAGAGTGACTCAGTTTGGAATCAAGGACCACAGACCTGTAATCCTAGCACTCAGGAGGTAGAGGCCGGAGGACCAGGAGTTCAAGGTCATCCTTGGCTGTCTGTATAGGGAGTTTGAGTCCAGCCTGGGCTACATGAGATTCTCTCTCAAAAAGCCAAACACTCAGATCTGAGGCTCCCACCAAGGCCTCCTGACTCCCTGTCTCTCCCTTTATGTCCTCACCATCTCAGACACCATCCAACACATCAAGGACAGCCGGCACATTGTCGTGTACCACAGGGGGCGCTACTTCAAGGTCTGGCTGTACCATGATGGGAGGCTGCTGAGGCCCCGAGAGCTGGAGCAGCAGATGCAGCAGATTCTGGATGACCCCTCAGAGCCACAGCCTGGGGAAGCCAAGCTGGCCGCCCTCACGGCTGCAGACAGGTGTGTGGCATTGCAAACCTTCCTGGGTCTGGGCTTCATGGTGCTCTGAGGAGCTCTTCCTCAAGGGGCCCATCCCCACTGATGCCAGCAATAGCACCAGAGCAGAGAGCACTATGTTGCTTCATGGTGTCGAGTCTGACTCCTGGATGGTGGGCCACAAGGACAGCTGAATCCAGCACATGACAGACAGGTCTGTGTGTGTGTGTGTGTGTGTGTGTGTGTGTGTGGTGGCAGTAGGGAATGCCACACAAGGGCACATGGAAGAAGTGAAGATGTAGCTATGGATACACTTATTAATGGCTTCAGACTTGCTATGTGACTGAGGCTGATCTTTTTTTTTTTTTTTTCTCTTTTCAAGACAGGATTTCTCTGTGGCTTTGGAGGCTGCCCTGGAACTAGGGGGTGGTTTTTTTTTTTTTTTTCTCTTTTCAAGACAGGATTTCTCTGTGGCTTCGGAGGCTGCCCTGGAACTAGCTCTTGTAGACCAGGCTGGTCTCGAACTCACAGAGATCCGCCTGCCTCTGCCTCCCAAGTGCTGGGATTAAAGTTAGACGATCCTACTCATCCCATGGTTCTAGAAGGTTCTTATACTCAAGATGAGGGCATCCTGGGAAACACATAGGAAGCCTAGTTTCAATTCAATAATAAAATAAATAAGTTCAAAAAGGATGTATCCCAGTCTGTGGGAGTAGGAAGTCACAGGACAGCCATGAATTCTAGGTCATCTTTGGTGTACATAATATCAGGCCAACCAGACTATATAGGAAGATCCAGTCTCAAAAAAATAAAAATAACCCCCCCAAACTTGTCATCTATTGTCAAATATGAGTCATCCTTGTTTCTATCTTCTCTAACGGGAAGTACTAGAGGCTTTTGTGAGACCTCAAGATGGGCCGGAGCCAGTATATGGCAGAGTCCTGGCAACAACCAAAATGGACCATCTTATGGCCCTCAGGTGGATACTTGGAGTCCTTAAGGTCAGGGTACAGGCAGAGTTGGAATGAGGGCATCATTTTGTTGGTATAAATGTGGGCTTCAGGCACGATGCTGGTAGGGCCTTGTGGTGGTGTATTCTCCTTACTCTGGGATAGACTGGCATTGACTCCACCATGAAGTGACCACTGGCATTGAACTTGAGGTGACTGCTGGTGTTGTGCTTGAGGTGACAGCTGATGATGGACTTGAGGTGACTACTGCTGTTGGACTTGAGGTGACAGCTGGTATTTGACTTGAGGTGACTCAAGTGGGACTAGAGGTGACAGCTCATGTTGGACTTGAGGTGACTCAAGTGGGACTAGAGGTGGCAGCTGGTGTTGGACTTGAGGGAACTGGTGGTGTTGAACTTGAGGTGACAGCAGGTGACGGAATACAGGTGACGGCTGACATTGGGCTTGGGGTGATTGTTGAAATTGGAATTGAAGTAACTCCTGAAGCTGTAATTGACATACCTGCTGGTGTTGCTCTTGGACTTGGGTGACTGCTGGTGTACTTGTTTCTGCTGAGTGTCACACTTGAGTGTCTTGCATTTTGCTTGTTGGTTCTTGAACCAAACCTTCACAACTGTGGGGTCCACAGTCAGCCTTGAAGCTCTTTCTTTGACACTGGCATTTGGATATGGGTTCTTTAAGAATTTCTTGTTTGGCACAGTCACTTGTTCCCGAGTGAATATAGCTCGTGTCCTATGTAGGCTTTTCTGGTTCTCACCCTTGAGGGACTCGCAAGCACTGTTAGTATTCTTGCAGAAAATATGGTTCCCATTTCCAGTCTCTCAACTACCATGTGTACATATTGATTTCTTTTTCTGAGGCAAGTGCTCCACCACTGAACTAGCCCTCAGCCAGGGAGACTTGTCTTTGTGTGTGTGTGTGTGTGTGTGTGTGTGTGTGTGTGTGTGTGTTTGTGTGTGTGTGTGTGTACACGCGTGCACATGTGTGCATGCATTTCAACGCTGGGTGTCTTCATATATTGCTCTCCATTTTTTTTTTTTTTTTGAAAAGGTTGTTTCCAGAACCTGGAACTCACTGGTTGACTTTTCTGGCAAACCAGTGCACTCTAAGGATCCTCTTGGCTCCACCTTCTCAGTTCTTGGATGATAGGTGAAGGCCACAGATTCTCATGCCTCCAAGCTGACTTCCTATCCCTCCCCCGTCAAGTGAGGCTGGCTTTAATAAGGCCAGCTCCAAGAAAGCAAAGGGGTCAGATTAGAGTCCCTGATTCACTGTGGGAAAGAGACCTGCCCTGTGCCCTGCTTTGAGCTGAATAAGGAGCAGGTGGAACAAGAAAGTTGGGGAGGGGATTTGGCTCTCCATCTTCCACAGAGCTCCTCTGAAGCTGCTGCAGGACCCAAGGCTAGGGGCCAAACGCTTTGATTAGGAGTTGCTCCAGGCACTCATGAGAAACAGGGCTGTGTGTTGTTTGACGTTTGGGCCAGAGACTGAGAAGGGAAGCCAGTTTCATCTCCTGCCTCCAGGGCTGGGGACCTGTGGCATTTGTGGGTGTTGCCAGAGAATGGGGTGGAGGTAGGCAATGGAGGTATTGCAGAAGGCCTGGAGACTGAATGAGGGACCCAAGAGAAATGGGAGGAAGCTACTGCAGGGTGGCTTTGAAGGGACATGGGCCTCACACCAATGTCAACAGTATGGTGGGCACAGGATGATCATCTTGGGAGTATCATGTGATCTGGGTCCAGGGGCCAGATGGTTTCACTCATTCCCTGCTCCAAAGTAGCTGTGGTTTGTTCTCTGTGCCTCAGGTTTCTTCTTCTGAAGACATCAGTGGACTCATGCCTGAGAAAGGCTCAGGGCAGAGCCTGGCTCAAGGGCCGGGTCCTTCAGCGTTGGTTGTATCTTTTGCTGGGGGATGTCTGGGCAGGGAAGGGTGCCCCTCCTTGGCAGCTGCACCCACAGGCTGGACTGAATTCTGAGCATTTATTGTTGATTTAATCCAAATCCTATGCCCAGTCAACTGTCTTTGTGAAGGTATATTCATGTCCTGGGGGGTGGGGGGCGGTATTGTTCCTCAGGTATTAGCCATCCCATCCCCATTGTTTTGGAGACAGGTTCTCTCACCAGCCTGGAACTTGCCAGTTTGGGTGGCCTGGGTGACCAGTGAGCCCTGAGGATCTTGTCTTGGTCTCTTCAGGTCTGGTATATCAAGCATGTACCATCACACCTGGCTCTTTTATGTGGGCTCTGGGGATGAAATTCAGGTTCTCATGCTGACAGGCAAGCACTATTGTCCACTGAGCAATCTGCCCATCCCTGGTAACTGTCTTTAGAGACATTTCCTTCTTGCTACAGAGTGCCTTGGGCAAAATGTCGGCAGACCTATTTTGCACGTGGGAAAAATAAGCAGTCCCTGGATTCGGTGGAGAAGGCAGCATTCTTTGTGACGTTGGACGAATCGGAGCAGGGATACAGGAAGGAGGACCCGGAGACTTCCATAGACAGCTACGCCAAATCTCTGCTGCATGGCCAGTGTTTTGACAGGTACCTCCTCCCTTTAATCTCCAAGGTTGGTGGGAGGTTGTGGCAGATGTTCCTGGGTATGCTTTGGAGCAGCCTTTCTGAGTCTCACCCCACCCTGAGGGTTGTACTGGCAAGAATGAGCATCAAAACACAAGGCTCAGCCAGGTGGTGGTGGTGCACGCCTTTAGTCCCAGCACTTGGGAGGCAGAGGCAGGCTTATGTCTATGAGTTCAAGGCCAGCCTGGTCTACAAAAGCTAGTTTGGCAGGCTCCAAAGCTACACAGAGAAACCCTGTCTCGAAAAACCAAAAACCAAAACAAAACAACAAGGCTCTGCTTGCTTCCCTCCACCCAGGCTCCCACACATGGCCCAGGCAAGATGGTTTTGAGATACCTTCCTTTGCTCTCCCTACCACCTTTCTTACCTGTGGGTTACTGGGCTCCCAGCAGAAGGTAGCACACAGGGCAGAATGGGGTCAGTCCCAGGAGTCAGCACTGGCCTTGGTTGTGGTTGCACAGATGCTGTGGTCCTGCCCTCCTGGATCCCCTTTCCAGGGTTGTAAAGTGAGGAGGGGCCTCCCAGGCCTTGCTTGAGAGGACATGTGCTAGTCCCATATTACAGTAGTTGGCACCACTGGGAAACACGTGTTGCATTTTATCTCTGGTACAAGAAGATATAAATGATTGTGTGTCCCTTTATTGTCACCTTCCTGGGGTACAGAAACGTGTCAAGTGTGGAGAGAGGCCATAGCCCAAGCAGAAAGAAAGACACATAAAGCTTTTAGGTTTCGCTGTCGATGTAAACCTGAGAGTTCATGATCACGTTTTCTTCTGTAGGTGGTTTGACAAGTCCCTCACATTTGTTGTCTTCAAAAACAGCAAGATAGGCATGAATGCAGAGCATTCCTGGGCGGATGCCCCCATCGTGGGCCATCTGTGGGAGGTGAGCCACACCCTTCTTACCTGTTGCTGAATGTGGACCAGACCCACTTAAACTTGGCTGTATTTGTCTAATCCTCTGTATCGGTTTCGTTTCTTGTCTGTGCCCAAATACCTGACAAGAAGGGATTTCTTTCAGCTTAGGCTTTGAGAGGGCACAGCCCAGTTTAGCAGTGAAGTCTGGGGGCTGCTAACTTGCTTCCCGGTGCCCAGGAAGCAGGGCCCTGGCTGTAGACCTCAAGGCCTGCTCCCAGTAACACACTCCTCCCAGAGTCCATAGCATCCAAAACAGTGCTACCAACTGGGGATGAAGTATTAAAACACATGAGCCTGTGGGAGGACTTCTTACGTACAGTACAAAGTTCTTCACTGGTGGTGGTTCCACACAGGAAGTGGAAAGCATTTGAGTCTTGGTTTCCTGTAATGTATGTTCCTTGAGTATAGGCACATGGATGTCTCTTGATGCAGCTGAAGTCACACAGTGACTCTCAGCTCACACAGCTTGGTTCGTTCTGAAATAATAAATTTACTTCTAGACTTCCTAGTTTTCTCACTTAGCCTAGTTTGTGGGCAAACAGAAAGAATTATTATTAAATAATTAATTATTATTAATTATTAAAATGTATGTGTGTGTCTCACTATTTAACCCAGGCCAAAATCCAATGCATGGCAATCCTTCTGCCTCAGCTTCCAGGGTGCTGCTGGGATTACAGCTGTGTGTTGCCATACCCAGCTACAACTTTGCATCTTGGTTTCTTCTTACAGTTCTGTACCCAGGATTTCTTTTCCTATGGTACAGAATCAACTGCAGAGTGCATGCTGTGTCTTCCTGCTCCTGCATGAGGGGAGAAGTCTTTTTTTTTTTTTTTCAAGACAGGGTTTCTCTGTGGCTTTGGAGGCTGTCCTGGCACTCGCTCTGTAGACCAGGCTGGTCTCGAACTCACAGAGATCCACCTGCCTCTGCCTCCCGAGTGCTGGGATTAAAGGTGTGTGCCACCACTGCCCCGCGGGAGAGGTCTTCTTTAGTTTTCGCTGACCCTATCTCCCCCCCAAAGCATACCCCCAGAGGTTTGTGGCACCTGCTCTCATCCCCCAGGTGCACTGACCTCTGCTTGGTGTCTTGGCAAAGTCCCAGCTGCTGCTGCTAATTCAGCCATGGGAGGTTCCTCACATGGAAGAGAAGCAGGAACTTGGGGCTTTAAGACACGAGCACACTCCTAAGACACAGATTCCAAACGGCAATATGCTAGGCTTATGTCCCTGCCAGGCCCTGAGCTGATGCCAGCAGAAGTGTGGACACTGTCAGCCCAGGTGTATAGGTGCCTCACCTTTATTGCCCCCAGACACTGCAGCTCACACACAGCCCGGGGAAGCTCTGCACAGCCCAAAGGTATAGGCCTGTCAGAATATCCCAGGGACCTTTCAAATAACACATGGAGAGCTGTCGTTGGGTAATGAAGGTCTCTGGGGCTCAGGCAGCTTGCAGCACACAGAGCATAGATATCAATGGCAGACCAAAAAGGATAAATGGTGCCACATGCCTCTAGTTCCAGCACTCAAGAGGCTGAGACAGGAGGATTACTGAAAACTTGAGGGCAATCAGAGCCACGGAGTAAAACAGACAAACAAACAAAAACCCAAAAGCATAAAAAAGAGAGAGAGAGATAAAGAAGAAAGTCAATAAGATATCCACAGGGTCTGGCTGATTTTAAGGTTTATTGTGCATATGAGTGCAGTACTTGCAGCAACCAAAAGGGGGTGTCAGATCTCCTGGACCGGAGTTATGAGTGGCTGTGAGCTGGGAACCAAATCCCAAACTTCAGTCAGAGCTGCAGGCACACTTAGCAGCAGAGTCATTCATCTTCAGCCCCCAGGCTAAGCCTTTAAAGCAAGTCTGATCAAGATAAGGCTAAGGGAGGTAAAGCCTTAGGCCAGGGATGCAAGTAGAATCAGTAGCTAGTTTCCTTTCCGCCTGATGGAATCTGGGCTCTGGAGTGCAGTCCGGGTGCCTAGGAGAGTGCTGGGGACCTGGCTGTCATCCTAGAGGCACAGTGCCACATTGCCACAGGGCTGATTCTGAGATGTGAAGCCTGGAAGAGGCGGACGCAGCACAGCGAGGCGTATCCTGGCGGATGCCTGTGCTTCCCTGGTGTTACAGTGGTGTTACAGACGACACAGAAACGCTGTGTGCAGATGGACTCTTAGAGATACACAGGACGTGACCTGCTGTGAGGTTTAGAGCACAGTTTTAACCTCTCAGGGCCTGGCCTCCCAGCTGTCTGGGAGCTTCTAGGTCTCTGCCCTTTGGGGTTTGTAAGCTTTATTTTGTGTGTGTTAAACTGAAATGGGCCCCCCACCATCCATCTGGTGGGCACTGGGAAAGGAAGGCACTGCCATCACTTCCAAGACTGGTCCCAGGTGCGTTCTGTGCTGAGCATGGAGGAGGCACTGTGCTTACTTGTTTTCTCTGCATTCTCTGTTTCTTTCTCCTCAGTATGTCATGGCCACTGACGTCTTCCAGTTGGGCTATGCAGAGGATGGGCATTGTAGAGGAGAAACCAACCCCAACATCCCCAGACCCACCAGGCTACAGTGGGATATCCCAGGAGAGGTGAGTCTGCTGATCCAGAGACCATCATTCACCATGGTGCTCCAGAGTTGCCCTGAGCTCCTTTGACAGGCGAGCTCTCTTCCAAACAGAGAGGAAGCTGTTTGACCAGAGTTGGGGAAGGGGCCTGGGCTGCTAGGGGAAATGAGGTTTCAGTTTTCAGCTCTCTGTTGAGATTTCAACTGTGAAGTCGCTGAGCTTCTGTAAATTCCCTGCAAATAAGGATGGAAACATAAATCATAGCTTGGTGGTGTTAGCGCTCATCTTTAATCCCAGCACTCAGGAGGCAGAGGCAGGCTCATGAGTTCGAGACCACCATGGTCTACAAAGCGAGTTCCAGGACAGCCAGGTTCTGGGGATGGCACCCAGGGCAATGTGCAGGCCTGGCAAGCTCTCCACCTACTGAGCTAAATCACCAGCTCCCAGATTGGTGATTTATAATTTTTAAAACAGTGAGTATTGGCTCCCCATAGATACTTTGGGGCTGTGTAAAGGTGGCCTACTTCTGTCATCTCAGTCCCTGTGGCTGAGGCGGGAGAACCGCTTGACCTTGTCTCAAAAAACAAGATTCTGAAACACAATTTGCACATGTGAGATTTTAGAAGTATAAATAATACTATTTTTAAAGGACAATAAAGGATTTCTTTTTAATAGGAGCGTGCAAAGAAGAGGTGTTAGGGTTGGAACACCCAGCCTATCAGAATTTCTGGGGCCTGAAAAGCACTTTTCCCTGTGGTTAAAGTTCTAGACCTTGCAGTGTGGGGTCCATGGAGAAACATGGCCTCTGGGGAGAGCCTGACCTTGGGGCTGGGGCTGACTAGGCCACAGACCACTCACACCTTTTGTTAGAGCAGAACTGAGAGGCTGATGTGGTATTTCCTGGATGCCACACAGCCTGCCCTGCTCAGCATCGCCACCAGAGTGGCGTGTGTGTGTGTGTGTGTGTGTGTGTGTGTGTGTGTGTGTGTGTGTGAAGCTTCCTGGAAAATCACCAGATTCCTGTTTACACAGGGTCAGCTGGTCAGCATAGGTTGTGTAGGTTTGGACAGTCATACAGTATCATGTGTCTATTGTCACAGCATCAGACAGCAGTCACTGCTCTAAACAAGCTGTGGCTTCCACCTGCCACCCCCACCCCCAACACTGATCTCTTTATTGTCCTTTAAAAATAATATTATTTAATGCTTCTAGAATTTCACATGTGTAAACAGTGTCATTTGATTATATCAATTCCTCCTCCAGTTCCCCCTGGGTCCTCCCTGACACATCTCCCTCCCAACTTCATGACTGTTATGACAAAGAACAAGGGAACCTTGGCAGATTCCATGACAGGTGAAGGTGACCAAGGTGGGGGACAAACATGCCAGGCAGACAGAGCTTAAGCAAGAAGCTTTATTAGAAAGGGAAGGGGGGGAGGAAAGAGAAAAAAGATAAAAAGACACAGAGACAGAGGACAGAAGAGAAGAGGGAGACAGGAAAAGTTCTGTCTGCTCCAGGGGAACAGCAGGAAAGAGAGCATAAGTGGGCTAGGGTCTTTCTTTTAAAGGGGTCCTTTGTGTCTGTGTGCTAGTCATGGAACCCTGGGCTGACCAGAGTACTGTCTGAGTGCATTCTGCCAGGTAACAGGGCAGGCCAGCATAATGCTTGAATCTTTACAATGACATCTTTATAAATTTTACTTTTAATTATGTGTATATGCCCTTGTGGGTATGTGTATGTGTGTAGAGTGCCCTTGGAGGCCAGAAGAGTCAGACTCTCTGGAATTGGAGACACAAGTAGTTTGAGTCACCTGATAGGGATGCTGGGAACTGAACTGAGGTCCTCTGCAAAAGCAGTACACACTCTTTAATTGCTGAGCTACCTCTCCTGCTTTTCTATAAAATAACAACAATAGTCCAATGAGTCCACTAGTGCTCCCAATGTGCTCATGGGTGTGGGCTGGCCACCAGAGCAGGGAACAAATGAGCTTGCTTTCTGCAAGGGACCCACAGTTGTTGAAGGTCCCTTGAGTCTCTGGGAAGTCTTTCCCTGGGAAAACACAGAGTCTGCCCCTCAGAAACCCCAGTGACAAATCAAAGTATGGTCTCACCATAGTCTGAGTATTGGGCTTGCTCATGGAGCCTAGGTGAGGGCCAGGAGTGTGTGGCCCCAGGAGCAGCTGTGCCAGAAGAAGGTCAGACTCAGTGTGGATGATGGCTTCCTCATTGCCCCGTAGATGGAGTTCTACTTTGTGGTACCTTTCCATCACCCACATAGTCTATCATCTTCCAAGGTGACAAGGCCACTTATGATTAGGGCAGAATCACATACAAATAACTACAAGAAATGCGAGGGCAATCTGGCTATGACATTTGTCACCTAAGTGATCTCCAGTGTTAATTCATCTGATCTGGCTGGCCAGGCAGGTGTCCCCTTCTTGGTGATCCTTCCTGAAGCTGCCCACCTCTTGGAAGAAAACCTTCCCCTTACAGAGCAGGGCCATCATCCTATCAAGGGCATAGAGAAGATGCCCTCTCCTGCTAGACCCTCTGAACATAGATCTGGATGTGGGGGAGGATTGCCTTGGAGGTTTCTTACACGCAACCCTAGCTGCTCTGATGATGTTGCCTGTCATGTTCTGTTGCACTCTACGACAGTCTCATGGGCAGCAGGAGCTGTGCTTCCTGACTCAGTTTCCCCACTGCTCACAGGGTGAGGAAGAGATGCTGTACTTTTCCCTCACTGGGGCTTCCAGGTAGCCTTTCCAGAAAAATTGCAGAGAATGTGAAATGCACATTCCCAGACTTGGTTCTGCCCTGCCCCATTCTGCCATGCTTCCCCGGTGACTTGGAGCCTCCCTCTTTCCCTGCAGTGTCAGGAGGTCATAGAGACTTCCCTGAACAGCGCCAGTCTTTTGGCAAATGATGTGGACCTGCATTCCTTCCCATTTGACTACTTTGGCAAAGGGCTGATCAAGAAGTGCCGGACGAGCCCCGATGCCCTCATTCAGCTGGCATTGCAGCTGGCACATTACAAGGTAAGAGAGGATCTGGGCTCATCATGAGCTTTTTGGGGTCACCCACACATACACACCTGGGCTGTTTCCCTAGTGGGAAAGAGGTATAAAGTCTAGCATGGAGGGCAGCCGACACCAAACACAAGCCCTTCAGGTCTCTGATGTACCAGGTGTAGAGTGTCATACTGCAGATCACCATTGGTTTATAGTAACATCCCTCTCAGGCAGTAGCTTCTATCATGGACAAGAGAGTGTGAGATATTCGCAAATGAACAGTTAAACCTTCTAATGGCTGGAGAGATGGCTCAACCTTTGCAGAGGACCCCATTCAGTTGTCAGCACCCCTGCAGGGTGACTCAAAACCACCTGTAACTCCAGTTCCGTGGGATCTGATGCCACTCTTCTGGCTCTGTGAACTACATTCACATAGTCACATATATGCATGGAGGCAAACACACACATAACAGTTTTAAATATAAATCTTAAAACAACCCTATAGTAAGCCCTGGATCCTACAGTGTGGTCAGAGGAAATACTTAATGTGATCAGAGGACAAATTGCTTAATATGTCTGACCTTTAACATCCCTTTCCATTAAAGAAGAAGCCATCAGCTCCTCGATGCTCTAGGCTGAGTTGGGATTATGTGACATTTCCATTTTCTTCCTCTGAACACTGCTAAAGGATGGCGGAAGCAGTCTATGCTTGAGGGAGGATGTCGAAGGGACTTTTGTTCTTGGGAGGGAACAACCTGCCCTAGACAGGGACACTCCCTGTAGACTTAGATGGTCACTCCCACCTGTCAGCCCTAAACTGTGTTTCTTGCCTTCCTAGGACATGGGCAAGTTCTGCCTCACATATGAAGCCTCCATGACTCGGCTCTTTCGAGAGGGTAGGACAGAGACCGTACGCTCCTGCACTACAGAGTCCTGCAACTTCGTGATGGCCATGGTGGACCCCACAAAAACGGTAAGGTTGTGGTGGCAGAACACAGCATGGTGCGTGCTTTCCCGGAAGCTCCTGACTATGAGGCTCTCTAGCCCTTCATCCTCACCCCTCCTCCTTCTTTCCCTCCACTCACACCCTCTTCCTCCCCTGCTGCTCCTCTGCCCCCAACACCTCATGCTTTCCCCTTTGCAGAGGAACAGAAAGCACTCATGAAGTTCATTAGGGACGCACACAAAGAGAGTGTTGTCCACTGAGCTTTGGGGAATGAGATTATATGGACTGAGAACCTTCACATGAGAATGGGCATAACACAGGAACAGGAGACAGAAGGACACCCATGACTGGTGTCAGTGGACTTTGACTGGGGAGTCTTCTAAGCCGGTAGCTCACTCTACCAGACAAAGCTGGGACTTCCTGTGCTCTGCCTCCGAGGAGCTCTGTAGTAGCCTTGTGATGGTGAAGAAGTAGACTCGTGAATTCAGTCTGCTGCTGGCCCCCAGCTAGCACATAGCCACATTCAGAACTGTGCCCAGGTGCCCATGCCCCTGGAGAGGTGCTTACCACCAACAGACAATAGAGTGCAAGAGACCCCCAACTGGGGCTATCTTTCCTCTAGAAAAAAAAATGGCAAGTGGCTCCATCTGTCACTAGATGGTTTAGCATGCTCCTGGGAGACCCTGTCTTTCATAGGAGGGTCAGCGCCTCCACATACATGTAAAGGGCATGTTACTCAGATGATGTTTTAATGTCCAGAATAGCCTAAATGTATCTGTTGTGGTGTGTGTGTGTGTGATGTGTGTGTGTGTGTGAGAGAGAGAGATTGTGTGTGTGAGATGTGTGTGTGAGAGAGATTGTGTGTGTGTGTGTGTGTGTGTGTGTGAGAGTGAGCGAGTGTGAGCGTGTGAGGGAGA